TATTATAGTCGACCTGTTTAATTACGACGATCATTACCATTGTTAGTATTAGTTTACCTGTTTTTGACAAGTTCATTATCAATCCTATTATCTTCATTATGATTGCTGTTACTAGAATTAAGCTTTTAGCATGATTACCTGAATTATTACCATCATTTCTTTACACTACGTTCTTTAAAAGATCTCTTGAAAAAATGTCTGGAAAATCCAAAAATGTTCTTTCACCGACGATGAAAAAAGGATCATAAATTTGTGAATCTGTGGATTGCTCCAGGAATTTATTTCCATTCATTTTCAGTATTCAGTATAGGCTGATTCATTTTCAGAGAGTTTGACGTTGATAGAGAGTGATTACAGATAAGTGAAAACTTTTCGAGCTTGTATGCGAGCACCTCAAACATTCCACAACGAATTGACAATACTCTTCCCGTTGATTTCAAACTAAAGTAGTCATCAAAATAGGATAAAATACAATAAGCATACTGGTGTGCCATCGCTCCACGACCAAACTCCGTTCAATTCCTGAAGTCCAATCCAAGCATTTGCTCTCAGAGTTTCACTTGGTTGACCAATAGCAGCTTTTATTTCAGGTAAACCTCAAAGGTTCGTAGTGAAATTGATGCAAAGCCTAATCCGTTGTTTTTTTACTTGAAGTAAAAAAAAACGATAATATCAAAGTCTGGCTTGATGAACCATCTCTTGAAAGTTATTGTTTTCGTGCATCGTAAATGCTTCTGTTAAGTTTGATTAACGCACCCTTCTAAAGAACGTACAATGATATATTCGATACTCAGAGCACCGCCATAGTTCCAAAATAAAATTACGATTTTTCTTGATTATATGCATACGAACTACGAAGCGATTTAGCTAGATACTGCTAACATTTTTCGAATAATGCTGATAATTTTTCGTCAATTAAGATCGAAATGAAAGGAACATTTGGATAGTCGGGAATTGAAGAAAACTGCTTTTCGAAATAATCTGATGACTGATTTGACGTAGAAGAATGAAAACTGAGAGTTTTTAACAGGCAGCCAACTCGAACGCACTCATGATAAATTCGTTTTCTTCTGCCGAATGAATTGAGGCAAGATGCCCTCCCGCCGTTAAACACAACATTTCTGCAGCATTCCAAGCCCCCTCTCCATTAGTTAGCACCTGAAATACCTTCCAATGCTAGGAGCTGCGTTCGAATGTGCAGAAAGGGGAAGTGCGATTACTAAACGTTATTCATTCAGTCAGTTTCACTGAAACAAACTAACAAAATGATTGTCGCAATCACATGGTAATGACTAAGGAGGACTTTAAATGAATAGTCAGACTCTCACCTGATAGCAATGTTTATTGTAACCGTGCCAACCAACATTACACATGGTCTTATTTATTATAACTGAAACGAACAAATTCACAAATATGTAGCATCAATTCACGAATTTAATCGCTAAATAAATGAAGCACATATTGATCCATTCGCTTTGTTTCACTACACGGAATGGAAGTTCACTTCGAAGATCAGAGACGACCACAAAACAAAATCGTTGAATGTGGTAAGATCTCGCTAGGAATAGCGTACATTAACAGTATTCTGGACAACAGCAATGAATTTAAAAGGATCATCGCAAGGATTACACCAAGCAATTCGGATGACAATGCATTTCGATTCAGTTACAATCGGTATTTAATCGTAGTATTGAGTTATCAAATAGAGAAAAGTCAAATTGCAAACTCGACACAACCATTTGATTGCGGTTGAACGGTGTCTGTGATAGCTCACAGGTAGAGCAACCATACGGCAGTGTGTCCGTCGCAGGTTACATTCCCGCTAGCGAGAAAAGATTTGTACGGAATTAAGTGGCATACTAGTGTCACTGATGTTATCGAGCCTGAGCCAGGCCATGATTCAACTTGTTTCTAATTACCTGTTCATGTTGTTATGATTCCACATAGATCAGTTTACTCTGATTGTGGTGTTTAACACTCGTCAGATCAATTTCACACTGTGTGCGCGAGATCAAATTCACATTGTGTGCGCTCAGCACAACCATTCGATGGAGACTGAGCGATCTTCACACAAATTCAAAGACACAGCACCCAACTGGTACTTGACACGTCGCGAGCTTAGTTCCCACTCACAAGGAGAAGTTTTGCTTGAAATCGAATGGTGCACCAATGTCACTGATGTTACCGAGCCCGAGCCAGACTATGATGTAGCCTGTCTCCAATTATCTATTCATGTTATCATGATGTGCTGAGGTGAAGAGGTGAAGCACCTAATGCTGAGGTGAAGTGCTGAGGTGAAGCACCTAATCGGTAAATGATGCGTCATGGGTTCGATTTCGGCCAGCAGAGAAATGTTTCACTCGAAATGCAGTGGTGTACAAATGTCATCAATGTTATCAAGTTTGAGCCAGGTTATTGCTATCAAACTGACCTGCATTTAAGCATTCATTCATGTCATTAAACTCAAATTTGTGTTCCTACCGGTCGAATCTTATCATTCCGGATTCAATGAACTCTTTTCATGATTGCAGTCTAAATCAAGAAAAAGTTTCTGGGAATTCAGCCGGTAATTCGTGACCTGACGTTTGAATCTGGTTTGTGGATATGTGAACGTCGTTGAGATCAGATCAAATCAGACAGGCTGAAACTTTATGGGTGTGTAAGTGTAAGTGTACGCAGCGATTGACTAACAACCTACCGTTAAACTGTCCACCGTGACCATTACCGTAACCGTAGCCATTACCATTTCCATTACCGTAGCCATTACCATTTCCATTATCGTAGCCATTACCATTTCCATTACCGTAACCTCTTCCATTTCCGTTACGGCCACCTCCTCTTCCATTTCCGTTTGCGCCATTGCCATAACCATTTCCTTGGCCATTCCCGTTACCACCGTTTCCATAGCCTGCTCCATTGCCTCTTCCATTGTGTAAATCCGAACACTGATCTTCCAAACTCTTTTCGAGCGCTTTCGCTTCTTTCAAGAATTTCGAACATTCACTGTAATCATCTAACGCTCTTGGACATTGTGTCTTCAGCAGTCGCTCAACCTCGGTCAATTTCGATGCAACCTCATTCAGTGGTCTAAGGAATTCAGCGAAAATCTTCTCAAGTCGAGCGATATCTCGACTTGCTTCACTGCATCCTGAAAGAGTACAACCTAGAGCTGATGATCGTTTCACGCACAAGTTATCTCCATTTATATTGCATGTCGTCGTTCCAAGTTCACCTATGCAATGCATCATAGCATAGGTACGACTATTGGTTCTGATCGAAATGATTATATGTTTCATTTGCTGACTGTGAATAGTTTGATTCTTACTAGTTTGACTATGACCGCATTTTTCTCAATTTGTTACTGAATTTCAATGATGTCAATTTGGAAATCACATCAATTGCTGATAGCATGAATTCTCTGGGTAGTGAGCTTAACGTTCAGAAACACTGAGATTTACGAAACTACCTTGATGTGAAAAATGTACATTGAGCACAACCAATAATGCAACTATCTGCAATCTCAACATAATTGGTGGAGCCCTGGAACAGCTGAAATGACTAATTTGGTGTTGGTGGCGAATCGGATGCGTGCAGTGCCGCTTCTCGAATCATCAAAAACACAACCCGATTCGAACGTTATCTTCGGAGGAAGATCGTTATGACTCGGAAATTTATTCAGGTATCCAATGGCAACAAAGCTACAAACAATTCATCTTAAACAAACATCAAAATCAGACACTGAAAGAATATGATAAACTGATGCTGATAGAATACAATAAAACATCGCTGAAAATCGCGAGGCTGCATCGACGTTGCTCTGCTATGAGTTTGAATTTCATAATTTTCACATTGGTTTAATTCACTGATTCAAGATGACTCGACCTAATGACAGTGTCCGGTCATTAGGGAACTCAAAAGTTGGACATATGATTACACCTAGAGCTTCACGAGCAGGTACATCCGGTGCCGAGTTTATTGAATACAGTACGAGAAGAATATTATAAAAATTGCTATGGAATAGCAATAGTTCTCGAAAAGCCATAGATTGAATGTGACTTTCGTGGGATGGAGACACAACACGGCAAGAACAATATTGAATGTGTAATGAAGGAAACAAAAATGAATATCACCTCTGATCGCATTATCGTTATTATTATTATTATCAATATTGGTATCGCTGATAAAATATTCACTTAACAAACAACTCCAACGAAATCTACGCGTCTTTTATTGGCAAATAACGACTCATTTTAATTGCAAATATCAGCGAATTCCTAACGGAACGTCTGCTAATCTGCTCAAGCAATCGTTTCACAATGATTGAAATTCATAGCTGTTAGCCCATTCAAATACCGTCGCGAACGATTGCAGTAGAATATTTCATGCATTATTTCATGGCAATTATAATAAAATATTCAATTGTATTAATGCAAACAATTCCCAGCAAAGCTCAGTTATCAGGATGAAACGCGAAAACAGGTTACCGCCAATGATGGGTGATGACCGACGAAGCCTTCCGTTACAGCTGAAGTATGGATCGCGTGATTCCATTTTGTGGCCAGTAATCTACCTTTGTAATATCCCCTTGATCTACCCGCTTAATTCTCACAATCAAAAGATTATCTTTTCTGCAATTTCGAACTTTATTCATTCATTGTCCACTTATGCAATTATCATCGACTTCATCTAGCAAAGAAAAGTCACAAACTTATCCCATCTTTCGGGATGAGTGATACTCATATCATCCTGTGCTGATCACAAATATACAAAAGAGCTGATCTGATCACAAATATACAAAAGAAAACTTTGCGGCTGAATCGTACGAAAAACAAAAAACACCGCATAAAATAAATCTTGCAAGCAACTTTCGAGCATTTGCTGCACAAAATGATTGAAATTTCTCAGAAATTCGATGGTCTAAATCTTCCATACACAAACCGATTTGTTGGAGAGCCAAAATTTAATGACAGCTTATAAAATGTTAATGTGAACGTCCGATGAACAGAATATGATAATTTGTGACGACGGCAAACAGAAACGGATGGTTGGCAATGAATTTTAAACGAGGCTCCGATAGTCTATCACCGAACAACGTCAACACCGTACCACTCGTTGCTTCCGTTCCGTTTTCGTTGACCTGAAATAACTGTTATCACTTGTCGCATGCCATGAACCCAAAGGCTCATATTGCATATTGACACGTAATGCATTCAGAAATTAGCCCTCAAGTCGGAAGTTTCACTATTTCTTTAAAAACTGCAGACAACAACAAACGACTCAATCCAACGACTCGAATACAGATCTAGTGTTAGCAGCTGTTGACTTTCTGTTGAGTGAACGATTATGAATCTAAGGAGAAACAAAAAGAAACGAACATCAATAAAGGTTTTGTGGAGAACTTTCGATATATACAATTTTGAGTTGGTCATTTCTGAAAAATCCGCAGTATCGGCGCTGAACGCATCACTTAAACCCATTTGCTGAAGTGCACTTGACAGCTCGAATTCTTCTTCGATTCGGAACTTCGGCAATTCCAACTGAAAAAAATCGTAATTCAGTTTGTGAAGAGCAGTTAAGATGCATATAGGTGAGTTCCTGGATGAGCACAAACAACGAAGACGAAACCATTAGAAACTATCGAAAGAAACTTGACTCTGTGGGATAATGTAGAATTTAAAATAACCCACATGAACGGCATTCCATGTGCAATTGCTTATCAGTTGGAGAAGATCTTCACCACTGACTGATTGCTCGAAGTTTAACAATCCGAATTTGTTCTTCGGAAGAATGATGTACATAGATGTTTCTGTTGACTTATACGGCAATCCAATCACTTGAACATATTCGTTCTCATAATACGGAAAACCACCGTCCTTCACCATCATTTCAACCTGGAAGTTCATTGACCGGATTGCCCAAAATTCAGAGATGAAATTCATATCGATAAGAACTGCACAGGATTCCGTTATCCATTCAAGTTGTTATTCTAAAACAGAAGTTGAATAGGAATGCAATAACACATTTTAAAAAAGCCAAAACCTGTCTGTGCTTATGCTCGCTCTCGTGAAAATTGCTGATTTTCGTGAACTTCTCTGAGAAAGCATTACGCCACTTCGCTTTAAAGAACACTGCATTCACTACGGTCATCAACGTGGATGGACTGAACATTTTCGCATTCACAAGATTCCGTATCTTTGAGTCAGTTTTTTGCTCGATCCACTCATTTATTTCCTGAACATTTGAAAGCACCTCACAATCAGTTCTTTCTGAAGCAACAGTTCAAGAGTTGTAGCAAAATAATTCGATAGAGTCATGAAAGAGGATATATAGATAAATTGGCATCGCAGTGTTCATTATACATCATCCAGGAAGATGACTGAAAGAGATTCTAGGAGAATTTCTTTTCTGCATAATATATCTAGCCGATCCTTTTCAGTTGAACGACAGTTATCAGACTTGCTTGAGAGCACAGAAAGTGCCCAAAATGCTCATTGACACACTTTAAAATCAGTTCTTTTTTTGAGAGAGATTGTGACTAATTTTCTTGGTATATCACTTAGAAATTACAATGATACCACAAACTTTTGCAATCTCTTTCGATCGACTGAAATCCACTTTTTCCATCATTTTTGGATAATTTATACTGATGAATTGAACAAAATGCGCGAGAAGTTGGACATCATCTCCAATAAAAATTTTATTGGCACACTTCAGCTGGAAATTCCCTTCGCTGTCTTCATTGGACGCGTTCGATTCGAACGGTGCAAAATAGCTCCGTAATGAAGTGTCTGATGCATCTGAAAATACAAAAGCGAAATCGAGTGATCTGCATGTGGTTTGAGATAATGCCTTCATAAGCATCCGTAGAGCCCATCAATTCTGAAATGTTCATCAGTAATTCAACATGTAATAAAGTGGTATCCCGTTGGTATTTTTACGCTACTCTTTAATGGTAATCTAAGTTTAATGCTATGAACATTTTTCATTGGCTTTCGAAACTTCTTTCAGTGCGTTTAACTGAAATCACTTAATTGATTAGGTTTGCAGAGTCGTATTCCTTTCTCCGGAGCACGCAGAGAACTAGGTATCTGTAATTTTATCTTTCTCAGAGAATCAATTATCTGTAATTCCATTAATAATGTACAATGTACGCTTTTTGAAAATAATACTTTTTGCCAGGAGCCGTTTCAGTTGTTTACGGGTTTCTCCACCAGCCCCGCCATAAATTACTGCGAGTGTCGAAGCCACAGATAACGGTGATATGACAATGCTTTTCTGTTCGTTTCCACCGGTTTTTAGAAGCAACAAAGCAAAATCCGCTTGTGCTGCATCAATCGCAGAGATTTGTTCAGGTAAATCGCAACTGAAACAAAGAACCGTTTTGGCGAATTATAAAGAAAATTACTGAACGCATCTGAATCAGTCCTTAGAACTTTTATCGGGGTATTTTCATGGTGCACAAGCTGCCGTCGTGAAAGCCAAAATGCTGCTGGAATTGACAATGTATTTATTCTCTTGTTGAGCTACCGCTGAACTATTTCAATTATTGATTCTGAAACATTTCGACAACCAAAATGAATGGAATAAACTTCCAAAAGAAATGCATAACAGGAAATGGAACAACACCTAAAAGCTTTACTAACGTGGTGAATGCAAATAGACAGCAAACGGGAATGAAGATAAAGAGGAATTTCAACGATAGTAGAGGTTGCTCTTGCATAATGCTTTAAATGATTATCTTATCATCATCACAACTGGAAAATGTATTATCCTGAAAAATTCAGCAATGAATTTCAATGACGCTTTGCGACCGAATTGGCGTATTGTTACGCTGTTGAACACATAAGTGGTAAGAAATGGGAAGTTGAGCGATCGATCACCGAAAACCCCATCAGTTCATTTACGAAAACAAAACAAAATAAAAAAGCGTGATTTCATCAGCAAATACAATGCCTCTTTTTTGACAGCTGTCTTCTTAATTATTGACTTTTAACTGGAACTTCTTAACCGACAATTAATTCAGCGTTAATCTTTTCTTGTATCACGAACTAGACTTTCGGATTCGTTCCGATTCAAACTTCAAATTCGACTCAATTTACCGATCGTTTAGTCGATTAACTCTGTGAGGGTAAATTTCCATGCGATGTAGAATCAACAGGTCCAATCGAACATCTAGACGATCAAAGAGACTACCAATTCAGAGATTCAGATTTCCCCAACGAAGGCTAAACGGATACCAGACGGCGAATGTATTGAGGAGAACCTTGTGATGTTTGACGACGACAATTGGTAGTGAGAATAGTGTTTACATTTCTTCGAGTGACTAATAAAAGATAAGCACCACATAATCGTCACCGAAAACACAATTCGTCAGTGCGTAAACCAGTTTCTTGCAACACCGATTATATGAGTCAATAATATTAAATTCGATCAATTTACAATAACAAAACGGCGAATCCATGAAAACTGATCACCACTAACGTTGTCAATATCGTCACCTAGCCCATTTTCATTCCAGTTTATATGAAATTCATGAAACATTCAAATGAAAGTTCAAATTCATTCTATCTCTCATCTGATTTAACACAGCCAGCACTATCCACCTTCCAATTACGTCCAAAAGACAAGAGTTTCTTTGATGTTATCATAACACAAGCGAGCTAACATGCCTTCGGTGTTTCTAACTTGCCAATATCGAATCATGTGCAAAATGAACGCTGACCATTTGTGAGCAAAGTTGATAAACTTGTGTCCGGTTACTTCAGGATCATCAAGAACTATTGATCACTGTCACAATCGTATTCATCATCTGATCGCGATATTTTGAACGTATTCAGTTTCACGCTAAAGTCAAGAACGTATTTTGCCACTGACCACTTAACCTCTTTCCAATGAATCCTGCTTGACTGCCATAGTCCCACTTTCTTATTTGTGAAATTTGATCGTGATTCCAAACGACTTTGAGTTGTTGCGGTTTCGATTAACCGATTCTCGGCACATTACGACAGAGCAGTTTTTAACTTCACAGAATTTATGCATACCACTCTATTGATACATGTTTTCATAAATTCAACGCAATTCGTATGATGTGCAATCCCATGTGATATGAACATTGTGTGATAACTTCACTTATTGCGACACTCCAAAGCATTACCCACCAACCTTTTTGCAACGCTGATTATACGAATCAATGATACAAAATTCTATCAATGTTCGGTAACAAAACAACCAATTCTCGAAACTTTTATTATAGCATATGATATGATTGCATGCTAAAAACAGAAACCAGATTCACTTACCAGTCGCCGTAATACAACATACTCACCTGCATCGTTTCAATGAAGTAACCTATCAGAATGTATAAAAAAGGACAAATCAATGCTTCCAAGCTTCCAGTATCCGTTTAGTTGCAGCTTCTCGTATGTAAAATCGCTTCTTTTGATGTTCCATATCCACATTCCAGAACCATTTGCTGCTCGTTTGCGTTCGAACGTCCACATGGTCAAATTAAGAACACTGAAGTGTCTTGCCTCTGACTGCTTAATCCTTTTTGGAGTATTATGAGAGTTAACAACAAAACAATGAAACTGGTGATTCATCTAGAACAAGCACAGCCAGATTACGACATCTACTAAATAGCATTCGATCACAGTCACATTCTTCGCACCTTATTTAAGTAACTGGAATCTCATAAGATCGCACGAAGCATCAGAGAGCCTAGGTGAGAAGCACCGATCTGTTTGACTGTGCGTTGCTGAAGCAACCTAAACGAATCGGAATGATGGTAACATACGGCAGATTTTGCAGAATTACGAATAAACAAAACTGAAAGCGCTCAATGGTTAATCTGTCATTATAATGCTAATGCATTATGTGAAGCAACGTTTAACAGTGAAGTGATAATACAAACAAATTCTATCTTTGTGAAATGAAACTTAGGAATCGGTCGTCGTTATAACAATAAATTCTACCACTAACACCCATCAATACACGAAGTCCACACAACCACCCAAAGCAGCAGCAAGTCATCACAGATCACAGGACAGCGGTTAGTAGGTGAACCAGATAAGTACGATAAACAAGCCTTGGAAAGTATTCATTTTGATCGGTTGAACCTCCAGCACACTCAGACAATTGGATTTTCCTTCGTCACTGAGTTATGTATTATTGTCCTCGATGTGAAAGTAAGGAGAATGAGAACTAATCGCGTCTGCTTTGTAGTTCAGCACATCTAAACCACAAAAACGACAGTAGTATGCAGAGGAGGAATAACCACACTTCTACGCTTGAACATGCGTTATGCACCTAGGAGGGGATAAGTGATCTCAGTTTGTCAGCTTGTATCTTGTACGTACCCTCGATATTGCTGCACCCAAGTATCACTTAAACAGAAATCAATGTTAAGCAATGCTCATTCGTATCGCTCGCTGCCTTGCTTCAAAAACCGATGATATTTCTGCCTCGAATCAATAAACTAGCACAGGACGAAACTGTGTGCGAACTAGCTTTCTATGCGATGCATATATACGTCCTTCGTGATCACCTCGTCGTTTGTTACTGCAATCGAGTGAGCGGTGCACTTTTCACTTTCTTCGAATGAAAGTGCAAACGCAACAAATAAATTACCCGACCCAGCTGCACTAATCAGAATGAATCGGACGCAGCAGACGCATTTGTTCAATTCAATTTTTTTGTTGTGTTTTCACAGAACATTTTTTCCATGTGAAGCTCTTCAAAATTTTACACCAACTGAATGACATAAGCTGCGCCGGATTACAAATAGCAATTTCAAAACCATTTTTTTGCCCACCTTCATAAAAG